ATCTCCACCGTGGAGGATTCCACGTGACCAAATCTCCCTCAATCAGGGGTCCTTACTACATCCAGAGCCACAGTGGCTCCAATTGGCCGCCTGGCGCTTGAGCGGAGTCTCCTAGAAAGAGACAACTTCTGACAAAGAGTCATTAGGACACTCCAGGCTTTTAGAAGGCCTAACAGGATCTATGATTCCACTTGGAAAAATTACTGCAGCTGGTGCAACAGACAACAGCTAGACCCTTGCAGTATCTCTATTCCAGATATCCTAGACTACTTAGCGGAGGGTCTGGATAGGGGGTTAGCGCCCAACACAATTCGTAGACAGGTGGCCGCCCTATCTACCATCCTCACCTATGGTAACTCCGAACCACTAGCCAGACACCCAGTGGTACGATCCTTCGTTAAGGGCACAACAAATAGCAGGCCACCCGTAGTCCACAGATACCCCTCCTGGGATCTGCCTAAGGTCCTACAGGCCATCACCCTACCTCCATTTGAACCTGTTCGGACTTGCGACTTACAATACCTGACCCTTAAGGTCGCCTTCCTAGTCGCTGTTACCTCAGCAAGGCGCACCTCAGAGTTAGCAGCCCTGTCAGTTAGGGAGGACCTTTGTACCTTCCACACGGACAGGGTGGTATTATGTTTGGACCCCTCCTTCGTTCCAAAGGTCAATTCCCTATTTCACAGATCACAGGAGGTGGTGCTACCAAACCTTTGCCCCGAGCCTTCCCATGAATTGGAATGCAAGTGGCACACCTAGATGTTCACAGAGCTTTAAAACAATACATCAAGCGAACAACACCCTTCCGCAGATCGGAAGCCCTGTTTGTCTCCTTCCACTCTCACACAAGAGATCAAAGGGTCTCCGCATCCACTATTGGTAGATGGATTAGAAGGTGCATAGCAGAGGCATACAGGGGGCAGTCCTTGGCGGTCCCCAAACAAATCACTGCACACTCCACACGCAGCGCTGCTACCTCAGCAGCATAGACAACTCAGGCGCCGATCGAAGAAATATGTAGAGCAGCGACGTGGACGTCGCCTTCCCCTTTGATAAGACACTACAAATTAGATAGGTTCGCATCTGCGGAGGCCTCCTTTGGCAGGAGGGTACTCCAATGTGTGCTATCAGAGATTGGGACACAGGCCCAGACTGCTCCCCACCCACAGGGACAGTGAGGCTTTGGTATGTCCCATTGGTGGATTCCCCACTCATCATGCTGGAGAAGGGGCGTTGGTCTTACCTGAATGCCTTTTCTCAGCATGACAATGGAGAATCCACTCCACCCTTGAGGCCAGTCAGGTCCTGTGAGGGGAGAGGATTGAGCCAATACAAGGAAACGTAGCCAAACGCTTCGCCTCGTCGAGACTGGGAAGGGGAGGTCTCAAGAGGAGAGGCGGAGCAAAAATTGGCGACTAGTCTACAGGCAGAAGATGAGGAAAACCCATTGGTGGATTCTCCATCGTCATGCTGAGAAAAGGCGTTCAGGTAAGACCAACGCCCCTTCTCAGTCTATTCAATGTAGTTTTCATGAGTGTGATAGCAAGAGAGATCAATCTTTGCAACCAAAGATGCAATTGTTGTTGATCAGGTTTGGCCATTTACCTAATAAAAGACACTTTATGTTCCACCAGCGGATTCTCCCTCCTCTCTTGAGCATTTCTTTGTCAGTTCTTGAATTTCATTTTGTTCCATGTAAGAGACAATATTTTTTTAAAGAGTAAAGACAGAGATGCTATTTTCACTAATTATTTTATTGTTTCAAACTTGGATAGTTAGCTATATAATAGATCTAGTGCTAAATCTTGAATACAGTGTAGAGAAATTCGGTGTTCAACTGGTATTAGGTACTTTTATTTATGTTAACTTTTTAAATAAAAGAAAGACCCAATAGGTCTTTCACTGTCATTTTCCTATATTGCTTTCCTGTTCATAAGAAATTACTCCTTCTAAATTGATTTCTATAAAGATAGTTTGCTCAGTTTTCAACTAATATCACTAAAATTGATCAGGCGTTGTCCCACTATTTAATTTCTATGCAATGCACAGAAAATTGCTAGGATCCCAAGGCAAATTTCTGAATTTTGACCTTTTTAAAAATTGTTGTTTTTCCAAATATGGAGATAAATTTGTGATTGGATAGAGATGAAGCAAGCTTAATAATAATGATGATGCAAGGCTCGACTATTAACTACATAATTCATATATAGTTTTAGGTAGACGTATAAAATAAAGAGATAGGTTAACAAAAGGGAAAGCATTATCTTGATATGTATGATCATTGACTGGGCAACCAATGTAGTAAAACCTCTGCTAGTAATTAATTGGGCTCTGCTTACTTATCTGATTTTCAACTATACTTACATATCTGTAAATTAAATATTATAAAGGTAATTTAAATTTTTAATTTGCTGTCTTCCAAACTAAGAATATCTTCATTTGGGGGAGTTTTACAGGTAATCCCTCAGGTACGAATGTTCATTTAGCGAGTTTTCACAAAAACGAATTTATTCAGAAAGGGTACTTACATTAGAAATTCAAAATTGCAAGCAAAAAGAGGCCTCTGTAACCATGTAACTTGGATTCAGTTACTGTTGCAGCTGCAGCCATGTTTAACTCTGTGACTTGCCTGGGCCGTTTGGGTTACAAATGCAATTTCCTGAAGCCAGAAGGGTTTTTTTTTCCTGGTCACATGACCAAACACGAGCCGAGCCTGCGCGGGCTTGGTTTTTTTTTTTTTTTTTGGTGCTGCGTGGGGAATCTGCTTCTGCCTGGGCTTGAGAACTGCTCCTGTAAGTAGTTTAATTTTTTTTTGTTACTCTGTAGTGGGAAATGCTCTGCTTTTTAAGTACTTTGCTTTGCAGACTATTGTGTTTGTAAGTACAGTACTTTGCAAAGATAAAGTTTGTTTGCATTTTCCTTGAAACTCCTTGTAGAAATGCTAGCCAGGATCTACGCAAAGCATTCTATAACATGTTTCTTTGCTTTTATTTTGAAGATTAGTGTATATTACTGTAGTTTGTAGGTTTTAAATTTAAATTGCCTTCAGAAGTTGTGGGTGCCCCATCACTGGAAGCTTTTAAGAAGAGACTGGATAAGCATTTATCAGAAATACTCTTGTTGTGAGAACAGCAGGTTAGACTAGATGTCCTCAAGGTCCCTTCCATCTCTGTTACTGTTGCAAGCCGAGAGTTCTGCAAATCCCTGCCTCATCTCCCTCTGGGTACCAAGCTGGAGACTTTTAAGCTAATTAGGTGCAAGTGTTTTTTTTTTTAAAGCACTTGCTCTGGGCAGCTGAAGATGCTTGAGCTAACTAACAGCAGTTGTTTTTTTAAAAAAGCATCTGCAATGGCTGCAAGCCCTGCTTGGAGGCAATTTAGTTCCTGAGCCAACTGCACTGGAAACAGCTGATGGGCAGCCGGTGAGAAAGCCTCTTAGTTCAATTAACGTGGCAGCGATCAATTAACAAATCAGAGGAAATAGTAAGTCAGATCTTCATTTAACAACCCATTTGATTCAATTAATGAATTTGATTTTAAAAATTTGTAAAATTGAGTCTGATTCATTTGACAAATTTTTTGACTTACGGGCCTAATGGGCAGGCTCCATTAGGTTCGTACCTCGGGGACTACCTGTACTGTGATGGAAATGTCATTGTGGTGCTTCAAGACATAAAAATTTATCAGTGTGTGGAATCAGTATTCTTTTTCATCTGCGATACATATGAAATCTGACGTAAGATTACAATTGCCATTATTGGGTGAATCCCTCTTCCTGGCTTCTCCATTGATTTGTTGGAAGCCAGCAGTGAAAGTTGCAACTGGCACTCATATGGCCACAGAACGCAGCAGCCACTGTAATTGTGAGCTGGTTTCCAAGTGCCTGGCTTGTGATGATGTGACTGTGGGGCTGTTGCAATGCCCATACTATGAGGAAAGATTGTATGCCCCCTTGTTCAGTGCTGTTGTATCTTCAGATGGTCACTGAATGAATGGTTCCTGAATGAGGGCTATCTGCACTTGGATTATTCTTTTCCAGCTAAAGACAAAGTTTTTGCAATTTTGTAAATATTGCAATTTTTTTCTTTAGGAATGCTGTTTTTATATTTTATTTTATATCTAAGTATAAAAAAACTGGTAAAAAATGTCAAATTGCTTAAAGTACTTTATAATTTTCTTTACTTCAGATGATCATTGGCTTGGTGATTGCCTCTTCAGCAGGTAATGAGAATAGGTAAACCAGATAGTGCCAAAGGAAAAAGGACAGAAAATCAGAAGTCAGGGTCTGCAGAGAATACAAGTTAACAGATATGTAATGCATTATTATTATTTTTTAGTGTATGGCATACAATGTCAGGGAAATCTACACATGCTAGACACGGCTAGTTCATTCTGTTTGGTACTTGTGCGTCTATCCTTAGTGCACTCTTGGAGGCAAACTTGCTTTACATCAATTAATTAGCGGTGCTTGGGTTTCTGGCTCTTCCAGGCTCCTCTGCCAGTATCACTTTGCCTTGTGCCGCAATGCCTTGCGTTCAGTAGGTCCTGGATTGGCTTCTTTCTGCACACACGAATGCAGCTAGCTTTTTTCCCAGCAAAGTGGTACCCATTTATCTACTCACAATATTGCATTCTTTCGAATTGCTAGGTGGGCAGGAGCTAGGGATCAAGCAATAGGAGCTTATTTTGTCTCACAGAGCGAGGCTCAAATTGCAAGATTGCAAATCAT